GGGTGTGGGGGAGACGCGGGCGCGGCGCGGCAGGGAAGAAAACCAGAACCCCACGAAGCATGTGGGGAATCACGACCACAACGACAACCATCACCACTACCGCTGCTACTACAAAGAGGCTGGACAAACGGGAAATTCTGAATTCCGTCAACGTGGAATTAGCCAGGGCCGGGAAAACCAGCACGGGCCTCGACGAGCACGAAGAAGTTGGGATGAGGTCGCCAGGGCTGGAATTCTGAAAGAAAAACTGGCCAGGGGTGGCAAGAGTGGAAGGGCTGACCCCAGCCACTTTTTCAAGCCTCCCTGTATTCAACCATACGGCTCACGTGCGGCCGCACACAGTACTTCGCGACCCCGCCAAGCAAGAGGAACCCATGCCGACCCAACACGTCGCCCCTCGCGGGCACCCAGCTGGCGCGAGCCGTTCCGGGCTGCCGCAGCGCCGGGCCGAGGAGCATATCTCCTATCAACGTCATTCGGCTCCTCCTCCTCGTCGTCCTCCTCCTCCCCCTCCTCGGCCTCCTCCTCCCCATCCTCCATTTCCTCCAGTTCCTCCTCCTCCCTTTCCTCCTCCTCCTCCTCCTCCTCCTCCTCCTCCTCCTCCTCCTCCTCCTCCTCCTCCTCCTCCTCCTCCCCCTCCCCCTCCTGCTCCTCCTCCTCCTCCTCCTCCTCCTCCTCCCCTCCTCCTCCTCCTCCCTCTCTTCCTTCTTATCCTCCTCCTCCTCCTCCTCCCCCCTCCGCCTCCTCCTGTTCCTTCCCTCCTCCTCCTCCTTCCTGATCTTATGTGTCGTCTTCTGCTTGTTTTCTTTTAATTTTTCTTCCTCCTCTTCTCCTCCCTCCTCCCCTCCTCCTCCTCATCCTTCTCCTCCTCTCCTCCTATCTCCCTCCTCCTACTCCTCCCCCTCCTTCTCCTCCTCCTCCTCCCTTTCCTCCTCCCTTGCCTGCTCCTCCTCCTCCTCCTCCTTCCTCCTCTTCCTCCCCTCCTCGTCTCCGCTCTCCTCCCTCCCCCCTCCGCCTCCCCCTTCCCCCATCTCGAGGCCCACCTCATGGACTGGGGGGAGCCGTGCATGCTGCCACTCACGAAGACCAAGCGCGAAAATTTTGACAGGATTTTTCTAGGCCTGTTTGCGAAGTGCTGAGTTTCAGGACTGGAGTCCCCCTCCCCCACTTCGCCCCTCCCACGCTTCTCCTCCTCCTCCTCCCTCCCCTCCTCCGCTGAGGTAGAATCCGACGACGGCGATTCTGCGTTCGGCTATGGCTCGTCATTCGGAGGCGCTGGCGGGCTACCCGAATCCACCTGGCACCAGGTCGGTGTCCTGCCTGCCTGCCTCCGCCTCGTCCTCCTCCCTTCTGCAGAAGATCAAGGAGAAGGCGAGGACGAGGGAGTGGGATCCTCTTCGAACATGTGTTCCAAGACGCTGATCACCCCGCTCGAATGTGCTACGGCCTCCCGTGGTGCCCGCAGGCATTCCGCACTGCCGAACGACCACGGTCCAGGAGCAGCTCGTGCGCGCCGGCGCGCCGAATCGAGGCCTTCGCTGCGCGCCTGCGCAGAGTATACAATCGATGTCGTTCGGCCATGCGCGCAGACCTCCTACTCTCCTCCTCCTCGGGGCGACACTCGGTCAAGAATGCGTTCGTTCGACCTGTGTGTGGCCACACGGGGAGCAGTGGATGAACACGACTTGCCTCCACCAAAAGTGTTATACACAAGCCAAATATATGCACAAACTAGCCGTGCTGCTTCCTGTGCGCGCAAACGCGCGCCAAAATGATATCGTAGCACCCCGCAGATGCGGATAAGAGTAAAGGGGTGGTGGGGACGTCGGCAGTTTGCGTGACTCTGGAGAAGCCCGCCGCAGGCGCCAACGCTTCACAACTTATAAAACGAGACCACCGCTGGCGCCGATTTTTTCGTTAGACCAATGTGGGTAGGTCGCGGGTGGGTCGCAAACTGGTCGCGGGTGGGTCGCTATTGGGTCGCGGGTGTAAGAGGGCAGAATATCCACCCCATAGTAATCACCCCGACTAGCGAAGCCGTTTAGTGAACGCACACAAAGAATGAATCGAACAGGGCACGGCTGTTTAGGCAACGCCCAAGGCCGTTTAATAAACGTCAATTGTCGTGTCCGGGTGGTTTCTCCTCCCTTGAGGGTGGGTCGCGGGGTGGGTCGCGGGGTGGGTCGCGGGGTGGGTGGCGGATGGGTCGCGGATGGGTCGCGAATGGGTCGCGGGTGGGTCGCGGGTGGGTCGCGGGTGGGTCGTGGGGTGGGTCGCGGTCGGGTCGCGGGTTGGGTCGCGGGAGTGTCGCGGGGTGGGTCGCGGGGTGGGTCGCGGGGTGGGTCGCGGGGTGGGTCGCGGGTGGGTCGCGGGTGGGACGACGACAACAAACAACAACAACACCGACAACAACAACAGCAGCAACGACAACAACAAAATGAAACCGGGTTCGTGGTGCCCTGCCCCCCAGGGCGTTAGGCTTCCGGCCTTCCCACTGAGGCGAGGCCGGGACCCTAGTGCCTTGCCCCCAAATGCGAGGGAAGGCGTAACCGCAACTCCGCAACGCCCGCTGCCACCATCGGGCTTTGTAAACAAATGGCAAATAGCATCCCGCTGACACTCTGTGCAGAACTTCGATGTGCGCACCAGCCGAGCGAGCTGCTCCGCTGACATCTAAACCTTACTGGGACATGTATACGGGCTATATAGGACGTACAGGGAAATGTGTACGGGCGCCATACGACCTACTGGGACATGCATACGGGCTCTATAAGACCGACTGGAACATGTATACGGGCTCTATGAGGCCTACAGGGACATGTATACGGGCTCTATAGGACGTGTCGAGAAATCGATACGGGCTCTATGAGACCTACTGGGACATGTATACGGGCTCTATATACGACCTTCGGCGGCCATGTATAAGGGGCTCTATAGGACCTACTGGGACAAGTACAAAGGGGCCCTATAGGACCTACTGGGACATGTATAAGGAGCTCTATATGACCTACTGGGACATGTATACGGGCTCTATAGGACCTACTGGGACATGTATACGGGCTCTATATAGGACCTTCGGCGGCCATGTGTAAGGGGCTCTATAGGACCTACTGGGACATGTATAAAAGGGGCTCTATGGGACCTACGGGGAAAAAAAAGGGGCTCTGTTAGACCTACTGGGAGATTCTACGGGACTCTATCGGACCTAGTGGGACATGTATAAGGGGCTCTATAGGACCTACTGGGGCATGTATGAGGGGCTCTATAGGACCTACTGGGGCATGTATGAGGGGCTCTGTCAGACCTACTGGGACATGTATAAAAGGGGCTCTGTAGGACCTACGGGAACATGTATACGGTCTCTAGAAGACCTACTGGGACATGTATGAAGGGGCTCTATGGGACCTACTACTACTACTGCTACTACAACAACAACAACTACGACTAATACGACTACTACTACTACTGATCGTACTACTACTACTACTACTACTACTACTACTACTACTACTGCTACTGCTACTGCTACTACTACTACTACTACTACTACTACTACTACTACTACTACTACTACTACTACTACTACTAATACGACTACATCTGCTACTACTACTACTACTACTACTATTACTACTACTACTACTACTACTACTACTACTCCTACTACTACTACTACTACTACGACTACTACTACTACTACTGCTGCTGCTGCTGCTGCTACTACTGCTTCAGCTGCTAGTACTACTACTGTTACTACTGCTACTGCTACTGCTACTACTTCTACTACAACTACTACGACGACTACTTCTACTACTACTACTACTGCTGCTACTGTTACTACTACAACTACAACTACTCCTACTACCACTACTACTACTACTACTACTACTACTACTACTACTACTACTACTACTACGACTACTACTAATAGTACTGCTACGACTACGACTACAACGACTACTACCACTACTACAACTGCTGCTGCTGCTACAACTGCTGCTACTACTACTACTACTACTACTACTACAACTGCTACTACTGCTACTATTACTACTACTACTACGACTACTACTACGACTACTACGACTACTACTACTACTACTACTACTACTACTACTACTACTACTACTACTACTACTACTACTACGACTACTACGACTACTACTACTGCTACTACTACTACTCCTAATAGTAGTACGGCTACAACGACTACAACAACAACAACAACAACAACTACTACTACTACTACTACTACTACTACTACTACTACTACTAGTACTACTACTACTACTACTACTACTACTACTACTACTACTACTACTACTACTACTACTACTACTACTACTACTACTACTACTACTACTACTACTACTACTACTACTACTACTACTACTACTACTACTACTACTACTACTACTACTACTACTACTACTACTACTACTACTACTACTACTACTACTACTACTACTACTACTACTACTACTACTACTACGGCTGCTACTACTACTACTACTACTACTACTACTACTACTACTACTATTCCTACTGCTATTACTACTGTTACTAATACAACACCTACCACCACACCTACTACCAGACCTATTGGACCTATTGCAGCACCTGCTGACTGAGAACATGAGTCTTGAGGCAGGCAGTGTAAAAGTTGGCGGGCTAAAAGAACAGGCCAACGGTAATCACGGGGTGATGAATGCCACCTTTTGGCGGTGATGCAGCGGGCGCCGCGCACTGGCGTGCCCTGTCGGTTCCCTCTCGGCCGCACACCGTCTGCCACCTAACGTCCCAAGCATATCCCGCCCCCCCAACAAATCAAGTAAGATTGCCGTGCTGAGTGGGCTGTCTATGAACTGCAGAGGCTGGCCTGTGCATCGAGAAGATGAGAGGAGTGAGGCTGGCCTGAATGAGACTCCTGTGTTGAAGGGTTGTCGCCAACTGAAACGGCTGGCCTGTACGTAAAGATGCAACATGTAGAGGCCCTCTCCTCCGCATCGTCCTCCACCTCCGTGCTGCCTGACCTCCGCTCCGTCCCAGTATCAGTATGGACTCAACTACTGGCAGTAGAACAGGCAGCAAGTTGAGAGCACAGCGTGGCGGCAATGCTTGGGCCGCAGCCCGAGGGCTTCCGGTCCACCCCGAAGCTCCCGGGCCGCGGGACCTCGGTGCTTGAAACGACAGGCTGGCTCGGTGGAGCCTGGCTGGCCTGCAGCAGCTGGACGGGTGGCCACTCCCCGAACCCAGGGGGGGGCCCGACAGATCGAGTGGGCCCCCGACGTGCGCTGCCGGCGACGCAACGGCGCGAGGCCGAGAGAGAGCTGGCGAGCAGCCGCTGCTCCGAGTGTGGGGGGAGAAGCCGCAGGGCAGCGAGCGGGAGGAGGGACTGAGGAGCAGCAGGCAGAGCGACGGGCCACGAGCAGGGGGCAGCTGCCCCCTCCGTCTCGGAGACAGCCTCCTCCTTCCCACCCGTCCGCCAGTAGTGAGGCGGGCAACATCCCCCGCCCCAGCAGGCACGCGGGTGGTCAAATCGTCGCACACCGCCAGCTCCCCTCAGCATCGATCGCTCATCCCCAGGTCGCCGTGAGCGCACCAGCCTCCTTCCCAAAGGGGCGTCGCGAGCGCATTGGCGGGGCGCCTGAAGGCGTCCTTGTCTTTGGCAGCCTGCTCCTCCTCCCTCTTCAGGGCCTGCGGGGCGCGAGCACGGACTGGAGGCGGACAGGCCGCCGATCGAAGAGTGCCCGGGGGGGGGGAGGGCGAGGGGGAGAGAGAGAGAGAGAACGAGAGAGAGAGAGCGGACGACAGCCGGCGAGAGAACGGTGTCTTGCCGCTCGCCCGCGCGCCCGCTTGCGCCCATTGGGCCCCTTCCGCGTCGCTGGAGGCCGAGAGGCGGGGGGGGGAGGAGAAACTGTACTGATCCCTTCTCCTCCTCCTGAGTCTGTCCGCGCGTTTGGACGAGCTCGGACGTCCCTACAGGCTGCCAGTGATCTGCGCGTGGAGGTAGTCTTCATACCCAGTGAAGACGACATCAGAACATTAGGAGAGGACGACGGGCTTCACCTTTACACAGTCTTCGGAAACCTGGCTTGTATATCGAAATGCAGAAGTACTGCCGCGTTCGAATGTAGAGCCATGCGCAGCATGTGATGCTTGCTGTTTTCTGGGCGTGAGCTGAATGATCACTGCAGCGAAATACTCAGAACACAAATTTCTGCTACACTGGTATCAATGCTGGTCCACTTTCCTCGTCCTCCTCCTTCTCCGTTTCCCTCCTCCTCCGCTGGGAAAATGTTTGAGGACCTCTGTTCGACCGCCAGGCTGGGCTAAGCGCTGCGATGTGGCTCTCGAGGGCAGTGGTCGCAAGGGCAGGAAGGACGGAACAACGCCGCACTGTTCTTCACCTCGGCTGGCTTGCAAAGACTTTCTCCATCAATGACGCACTTCACGATAATCAAAGAAGCCGCAACAGCGTTTCTGACCCCCGTGCAAAAGTCCTCCATATCGCAACGGGGAGTGGTCACAGACCCATCACGTCTATGCAACGCGGCCGATGTTGTGCTCCTCGCGAAGAAAGGCTGGATCACGCGTTTCCGCCTGCGAACTGGATGCGTACGATCCGCGAGACGAGAGTAGGAAGATGAAGACACGTTTGGGCTGGGCACTCTGCGGCCATCCTGCGGGAGTGGCCTTTGCAATGCCGTCCTCGCCAAGCGCTTGGAACAACATTAACGTGGCGGGGGTTGACTCTGGGGCGCACAGGGAGCAGCCAAACCCTCCGCGCCACACGATGCCTCGTTCTGGGTAATGGGCGCAAGAAGAGGGCACGACCCCGACCAATATGGCTTGTCAAACTTGTCGATGTCACCAATATTGCAATCGGGCGACTCGTTCCCGTACTTGTGAACATCAATCGAATAACACACCCGCCAGCGAACAAAAATACTGCTACGTCTCCTCCTTCCCCTGCCGCACCCACGGCGGCCGCAGCTACGTCTCCTCCTCCTCCTCCTCCTCCTCCTCCTCCTCGTCCCCCGCTTTTCTAGAGTCGGTCTGATCTCTGCCGTAACAGAGGGTCGCTCGGTAGACAACCTGCGAACCGAGGCGCTCACCCCCCCCCCTCAGAAGTCAAATGCAATAGTCGTACGTACATGTCTCAACGCCGCCGGCCGGCGGTCCACGGTGATGGACGTCCTCTACGGATGCAACCCGACCCGGATCCCCTCCCCAGACGTAGTCCTGTCGAGAGCGGCACCTCAAGGCAACGCAACGGGTGCTCGGAGGAAGGCCTGCTGCCTGCGGTACGCCGGGTCTTTCCCCAGCTCGGCCTCGAGCGCGCGCTGGTTGCGTGCGTCGATGACGGTCTTCTCCTTGGCCCACTCCTCCTCGCGGCGCCAGCGGGTTACCGCACTGCAGAGCCACCATTCGCTGCAAGACAAGACTCAAGGCCCTAGAGCCTCGGCTGCGTTGGCGTCGCGCCAGAAACGACACGCGCAAAGGACGCTCTCCGGATGAGAAATGGCAGGCACGTGCTGCTGGAAAGCCATGGTATGTGTATCTGTGGTGCCAGCACGTGGACCCTACACAGTAGGTTCTAGCATTCCCGAAATGTAAGCAATGTACCCATGATCGGGCACACATCATGAGTCATCACCCGTATGGTGCCAGCCACAAGACGGGAACCATGCGATTGCAGGCTTGGGGCAACAACTACCGGGAACCGACCATCAGGTACGTCCCATCGTGCAACAACCACATGTCACCCATTACCGATCACCGATCACCCATCGTAGGGCGCACACCATAGGCCACCAACCGTAGGGACCGAATGACAGGGCACCGAACAAGAATGGGCGTCAACGACCGCCAGGGCGAATTACGCATTAGTCATCGGGCACCAACCATAGGAGAACAGCTACGCACTAATCATAGGGCGCCATCGGGCACAAAACTACGGTCAACGACGAAGCACCAATCACAGGCAACCAACCATCGGACGCTACCGCGCAGACGGCCGACAGTGACACATCGGGCTACGTCCGTAGAGCAAAGGTGAGCCCCCCTACGAGCAATCATCGGTCTGATGTAGAGGTGTGCAATCATGTTATGCAGATGTGTGTGCACTTGCACTGCCTGCTTTTGCTGCTGCTTCTCCTTCCTCCCACCTTCCCCCCTGTTTTGCTCTCCCCTCTTTTTTCCTTAGCCACGGGGCGACGTCTCTTGCGCTGCTTAAAACAATGTGCGCGCGCGTGGCGCAATCTGAGCGGGACAAGTGCAGCCGGCGCGCGAGGCGGCCACGAACTGGCCACTGGTGGCGGCGGCGACCGTGGGGAAACCAAGAGGTACCGATGGCGCTACTCCCCGGACCTCTCCTGGGGTGCGCGCTGACCAGGATTTCGAGGCGCATCCAACGGTGGCTGCGAGGGCCTCGCAGGAGGCTCCCAAAAGGGGAAAACGCGGGAAGGGTAGCGGGTAGCGGTATCGTTACCTTTCTTTCCTTTGAGACTGGCCCAGCCCGCGTTAGGTCGGGCCTATCCTCCTACAGGGGGAGTCTGGACGAAAACTCAAAAATACTGAGAACCCCCCCTCCCAAAATGGGCAAAAATAGTCCAAACATCGTCCCCAGACTATTTCTTGACTATTTTTGAGCACTCCTCCTGCAGAGGGACAGGCCCAACGTACAGCCAGCGCGCGAGGCGGCAGCGGGCGCCGACAGGCCCCCATCCAAGGAACACCCCACTGGCGCACGGGGCAGCCGGGAGGCGGCCACGGACGGCGACCGACACCCCCAAATAGAGAGCAACACCGCCTGCAACCTTCTCCATCTCCTGTTCGTTTGTCTCCCCCTCCGCCTCCTCCTCCTCCTCCTCCTCCTCCTCCTCCTCCTCCTCCTCCTCCTCCTCCTGCTCCTCCTCCTCCCCGTCCTCCTCCTCCTCCTCCCCCTCCCCCCCCTCCCCTCCCCGTCCTCCTCCTCCTTCTCCTCCTTCTCCTCCTCCTCCTCCTCCTCCTCCTCCTCACGCACTTCCTCTGCCTACCCTGTCACGTTGTCCTTTAGCTCCTTCCTGTGATCACACATCCCGTCGCCATCGACGGCCAAAACCTTCAGGGACGGCGGCACCGGCCGTAAGGCCTTCACAATAGAGAGCAACCCCGCCACCCACACAAAGGCACTCACGGAAGAAATCTAACAGGGCAGGGCTGTTCGGCAAACGCCGAAGGCCGTTGATCGGCGGTGGACTAACCTCGCTTTAATAAACCACCCTTTAGTGAAAACGGCCCAAGACCGAAACCGACGGACCTGGACCCGCAAAAATGATGGCCGCGACGCCCTCTCGCAAACCAAAAACGGACAATTCACTAATCGACGTGTCAGGGTGGGGGTTCTGTCCACCCCCGAGTTGAGTAAATGTCAAATATCGGGGTCGGGGTGGTTTTCCCTCCCTTGACCAAGCCCGACAATCCCATCCACTTGCTTGAAACCCAGGGGAAAACCTCTGGCGCCAACACTGTTCGCGGAATCGTTCCCAAAATCATGTCTTCCGCGATCCGTACGCATGTATCCAGCCTCAGACAACTTTTCTTTGCCCTATACGCTCCACTCTGGAGCTCTGATCTCCGTTCTCGTGTTTGTTTGTTTTTTTTCTCCTCCGTGCTCACGGCCGTCGGCTCTCAAACATCAACTTGTACGCTCTACTCTCTGCTCTTTCGCCCTCACAGTCTTCTCCCTACCCGCTAACACTAGCAATGCGCGCACATTCCACTCGAGAACCTCTGTCTTCCTCACTCTCGCCGCTACCCTCCGACATCTACTCCCCATTGCGTATCCAGTATTGTTTCCTCGCTCTCCAACCTCTACTCTCTATTCTCTTGTCCTTCTGCTCCCATCCCTGAACAAACGACTCACCAACTCTATACTCTGTATACAATACTCTCTAGACGATAGACCCTACAAACCAATCTCTTCTGACTGCCCTCTGCACTTGGCCCAACGTGTTGTCATACCCGCTCCCTCGTCCTCCCTGGTGCGTCCTCCCTCTCTGGCGTAGGCGGGAAGGCGAGAGAAACACGACGTTGGTCGTGGTGATAGTGGGAATAATTGCCATGGTGCTCAATGGTGGCGACTAATCCTTAGTCTTCAGCCCAGCCTTCTCGGCCGGGTCTCCCTTCATGGAGTTCGGATCGGGCGCATGCGCCTGCCGGTGGGGAGGAAGATGGCTCCGCGAGGGCCTCGCGTGACTGACCACTCCAAAATCAATCGACCCGCCTCCAGTCTCCATCCCGAGCTGCTGCTCACCTCCCACAGTGCGTTGCCAATCGGAAGCGAAGAACTTCATCGCGTCCCCGTGGAGGGGGCCCAGCCCCTCTCGTCGGTCTTGCTAGCTCCGGCCTTGGGCAGGGTCGGGCTGAGCTCGCAGGGCTGACGGGGGCCGGGAGGGGACTCGCGCCGATCGCCTGCGCAGCACGGAGGCGCGAGTGTTCGCAACTCCCCCCCCTCTCTCTCCGCGCAACGCCACGCGTGAAAAATTGTGTTCAACACGGACGCCACGTCCGTGTTGAACGGGCTGTTCAACACGGACGGTGCGTCGCCGACGCTGCCACAGGCGGCGTGTAAAGGTTGCGGAACGCCGCCCAAACCGCAGCGCGGCGGCGGCCGCGAGCAGCAGCGCCGTCGCGCCGTCGGCGGAACGGCGGCGCTCCTCCTCCCCTCCTCCCCCTCTCCTCCTCCTCCTCCTCCTCCTCCTCCCTCCTCCTCCCTCCTCATCCTCTCCTCCCTCCTCCTCTCCTCCTCCTCCTCTCCTCCCATTTCCAAACCTCCTCTCCTCCTCCTCCTCGCCTCCTCCTCCCCTCTCCTCCTCCTCCCCTCCCTCCCATCCTCCTCCCATCCTCCCCTCCCCCTCCTCCTCCCTCCTCCTTCCCCTCCTCCCCTCCCTCCTCTCCTCCTCCTTTTCCCATTCCGTGTTTCCCCCTCTTCTCCTCCCTCCTCCTCCTCCTCCTCCTCCTCCTCCCTCCTCCTCCTCCTCCCTCCTCCTCCTCCTCCTCCTCCTCCTCCTCCTCCCTCCTCCTCCCTCCTCCTCCTCCCCTCCTCCTCCTCTCCTCCTCCTCCTCCTCCTCCTCCTCCTCCTCCTCCTCCTCCTCGTCCTCCTCCTCCCACTCCTTGGCTCAAGCCGTTGTGGCACAAGCCTACCGTGGGCAGGTGGCGCCTGCTTCCATATTCTCAACCTACCGTAGGCAGGTGGCGCCTGCTTTCTCGCCAACCAGTTTCTCACCCCAGGTCAGCAGCCAAACCTGGGGCCTCCCTCGTTCCATCAGACATGGGCGGCCAGCAACAGCAAAGCCGAGGCAGGGGAGACGGACGCAAGTACCTCTGCTGCCAATCTGGTGGATGCAAAGGATGGACATGGGCGGACAAGCCGTTCAAGTATTGTGGTCAGTGTGGCTTAGCCTTCAACGGACGAAAGACAGGACAACCTGCCCCGTCCCCTCAGTCACAGACTACATCAGACGGCACTCCCAACAGGTGGCGCAGGCGTTCGTCCAACCCAGCGCCGAAGTGACACCAAAAAGGAGCTTCAGCAGTACGTGAACCCGATGAGCCAGATCGTGATCCAGTTGCTGTGTGTGCGGCAGCTGTTCAGTTCTGGAAGAAAATGGAAGGCATCAAAGGGAGTCACTACCTGCAGGCCGTGGAGGAGTTGAAAGCAGTGACAGCATCGACACTAGCAGCAAAACCATGGGACCAACAGCGAAAGTCGCTGCACGACCAGCTCGGAGTCGCAAAGAAGAAGCTGCTCAATGCCCAACAGACTTGTGACAAAACGTGTGAGGCCATGGTCACCTTGGTCAATGACTATACCAACCAGTGCAAACTCGTCGCCGACCTGTCAGCGGAGACGCAGCAGTTAGAGACCCAGCACAAGATGGCAGTGGAGCAGGCGTTGAAGGAGCACGTCAGCACCTCGGCCCCCTCGCTGGAGACGTACATCATCAGCCAGTTCCCACCTGGGCTCGCGCCGTCCGCGGGGGTGAAGCAGGCCGTCGTTCAGTTGTCGGCACAGCTACATGACGAGTGGCAGGCAGCCCAGGCAACCCAGGCCAGCTCCCAGCAGGCCCAGACGGCGACCCAGGGGGCGGCGGACTCCCAGACGGGTACCGAGGAGGGGGCCGCAGTCCCAATCGCAGCCGATGCCGACCCGAGGGCGCCGTCGCAGGCTACCGCCACCCCACCAGGAGATGTCAGCCCTGAGCTGGCAGCCCGCCTGGGCGTCGAGGCCGAGGCCATGCAGCTGGACCATGACGAGGCTGACAAGAGGAGCCAGGGCATGGGGCGCGTAGGCGAGGCGATCGACCAGGTTCTGAACATCAACGGCCAGAACTCGGCGCTCACGCCCCAGCAGCAGATGGCCAACGCGGCGCTCCAGTCCAGCGCGAAGGCGCCCTGCCTGGCCAACAAGGGCAAGGGCGGCAAAGGGGCGGACAGGGCGCCGTGTGGGTAACACGGTCAGGTTCGCCACTACCAATGGCAGCTGCTGGAGATCTATTCGGAAGTTTCTGAAGTCTCAAGCAGCCGAGACGGTGGACATCATCTGCTGTCAAGAACTTGGGGCACTGAAGGATTCGCTCCCGTTCATTGACAATGTTGTGAGCGAGAGGGGTGGAAAGCGATACTCTCTCCAGCCGTGCTCAGTGAGAAAGGGTACCCTGTCCAGGGAACAGGGGTTTTGATTCGTGATGAGCATGACTATGGAGTATCACGTGCGCCGTGGCCTGCAGGGGTGGTAGAGTCACGGCGCACAGCAGTTTCACTTGAGCTTCCTGGACATCGTCCATTCGTACTAGTTTCACTTTACTTGGCCGACGGGGTGGGCCCCAACCAGTATAATGTAGAGCTCTTAGCAGGGGTTGCAATGATCCAGGGCGCTGTGCGACAGCCACTCATCATTGCTGGGGGTTTCAATGTGTCGACGAGTAAGCTAATCGAGTCGAACAACCCGCTGAGAGCAGGCCTTAAGATTTTGGCCCCGGCAAAACCAACATGTAAGATGAAGAAGTCCGAATCCATCATCGACTTCGTTCTCGCCTCGTCGTGTTTCGACCAGGACCTCTCGAGGGCCACGGTTCTCGACGAGTACCCAGCGAGCCCGCATAGGCCCGCGCTGTTCCAGCTGCGCTGCGGGAAGCCCTATATGGTGCCAGTCTTGGAGAAGCCCCAGCCATTTGCTACCTCCAGGCCCCATGGGCCTACCAACCACGTGCCGTCCTGGGACCGTACGGAGGCAGCCTTGGATTTCCTGGACCAGGTTATCGATCGGGAGTCTGGGATTGAGGCCCGCTTGCTGGCCCTAGATTCGGCATACCAGTACTTCGCCTCGGACATGGCGAAGACGATCAGTATTCGCACCGACACTCCGATCAAGTCGCCCACGGCCCCGCGGGTGGGCCTCCCTAAGACCCGCTGGGTACCAGGAGCCGCACGAGAGGTGGAACCCAGGGCCAGTTGGAGGAGTCTATCAGTTCCGATTCGGTGGTTGTAAAAAAAAGTTATGGATGTCATCCGACGGGTTTATTCCAAGGAGGAGCTTTACCTTTCGGAGATGTTGACCAGCATCCAGTCGCCGCCCCCAGAGCTCGAAGGTACCGAGGAGTTTGCCCGTTTGCTCGCCAGTGTTAGGACAGCTCTAGGCGCTGCTGCCCCAGACCAGGACAATGGCCAGATGGGCCCCAAGCTTGTGTTGAAGGTATTTGAAGAGCTCGATGATGCAGTTGATCATGCGCTCAAAGCTGAGGGCCAAGGACCGACAAAGTGAAACAACGTCTTGGAACAACTGGGTCCAGGAGGCCATCTCTCGGGATGTTGGTTGGGCCCACCGCTGGACATCAAAGCTCACCTCCTGGCAACCTCAGAAAGTTTGGCGCCCCGAGCTGCAGACATTTTCAGGTCGGCCATCTGAGTTGCTCCAGTCCGAGGCAACCCGCCCCGCAGGATTGTGGCAGGCCGCGCCGCAGGAGCAGGACTTTAACTTGCCGTCGGCCGGGCGTGACCGCTCGGAGCCCATCACGCCTGGCCAGATCAGATCAGCTGCCAAAAAGATTTCCAACATCTACCAGCCAGACTTGGGATGGGTTTCGCCCTCGTCACTTTGCTTATCTCAGCAATGTGGAACTGGAGCATGCGTGTAAGCTTTTGGCAGCGATCGAGGAGATTGGGGTATTTCCGACAGCCATTCGTGGCGTCATTATCGCGCTGATTGAGAAGCACAAGCCTGGCCAGTCTGAGGGCCCCTCGTACCGTGGAATCGGTTTGCTCCCTGCCCTCTGGAGGGCGTGGTCCAAAATTCGCCAAGGGGAAGCTCGTCGGTGGGAAAGGGCCAACAAAAGGCCTTATCTTGCTCATCAGTCTGGTCGAGGTGTGCTTGAAACTGTTTATGCTCAGGCCTTGAAGGCTGAACTTGCTGGTTACCAAGCTGTCCACGCTGGTGGGGTTTTATGGGATTTATCTAACTATTATGAGAATGTCAATCGGAAGAAATGGAAATCTCGGGCGATCTCCTGGATTTTCGGAGACGCTTACGTGTATTATGATGAACCAGTATGGGGGTCCCAGGGCTGCTGCAACCAGAATATTGGCTACCTACGCGGGGTGTGCTACCAAAGGCTTCCCTGCTGGGTGCTCGTTTGCGACCTACAACGTCCAAATGTATACGGTTCCCCCCATGGACTCCTGGGTTCCGAAGTTCCCCACCGTGGACCCCTCAATCTCCATAGATGATTTCGTGCTTACTAGCAACAACACAAGTCTTCGCCTGTTGGTGTTGGACCTGGCGCAGGCCTCCGACAGCATGCTAGATTTAATCGAGGAGGACCTCGATTGCTCGGTCGCCTTGCACAAGGCTGCAGTGCTGGGATCGCCCGCTGCAGTACAGCATCGCCTGGCCAAAGCTCTAGGTAAGTACAGTGGACCAGGAGGAGTCAACCAAGCACAGTCTGCGCCAAACCTCGAAGTCGATTTCACCATGGGGAACAGGGTCTCGAAGAAGGCCCGAAAGACTCTGGCGAAGCGAACCTCCAAGATGAAACGTCGACTCCACCGTCTGGCCCAGATTAGGCGAGCAGGTGCGAATATGCGGAAGATTTATCAGACAGGGTTGAAGGCGGCCGCCTACTATGGCGCGGAGGTCGTCGGCCTCGCCAACCCTGAGTTGCATGGGGCCCAGTCCCTCTACCTCAAGATTGTAGGGCCCCGCTGCGCTGCAAGATCCAGGTCCCTGGCTTTATCGATATTGGGGGACCCGACTTGGAGTGCTGCCTTGGGGCCGGCCTGTTATTGGGCCAACCTGATTTGGAGAGTTGCTCATTATCCTGGTACGATTGGCTTCTCTCTGGTGGGGCTCCGTGAACAAGCCCTCCAGGTCCTCCACAAGCCCCTTGCGAAGTGGTACCAAATCCGAGGGCCCTTAGGGGCCACGATGCTCAGCCTGAGCCGTCTGGGGTGGTCCATGCCCGACCCGCTCTTCTTTAGAGACTCGCAAGGCCTGGACTACCCACTCATTACTACCTCCCCTGCCCTCATCCAGAAGCTGTTTCAATCCCAGTGGCAGTTGCATTCAGACGCGAAGGCGGGGCAGAAGCTCGGTTTCGACGAGCCCCTCGACCCGTCGGTCATGCAGCGCGCGTTGCAGGACAGTACAGTGCAGGCCTACAAAAGGAAGACACTGCTTTCGTATGGCTGCCAGTGCATTTGGACCAAAGAAAAGATGGCCGAGGCAGGCTATCAGAATGAAGTCGAATGCGAGCTGTGCAAGGGCCCCGTTGACTCCATTCCCCACAGGCTCCTCGAGTGCCCGCAGACCCGCAACCTGAGAGATAAAATGTTAAGTGAAGCAGATATCGAGGAGTTCAGGGACCCGAGGAGAGGACTTCCATATGTGTTAGGATTTCAACTTCGACCTGAACCCATTGCTCTGAGGCCCCCTGGTTTAGGACTAGATCAGGCTGTATATTGGTCTAGAGATGGGCTGCCCAAGGAGGTGGCCATGCAAGGTGAAGTTTTCCATGATGGCAGCGTTTTGAAACCTGGGCCCGCGGTGCATGATGCCCCCGCCTGGTCCGTGGTCAAAATCGTCGAGGACGGCGACCTGGTTGTCAGTCTCTCTGGCCCTGTGGGGGCCAGCCTTCCCCCCACGTCGCCCGCTGCCGAACGCCTGGGGTTTCTAGTTGCTACATCATGCCCAAGAGTCACCAAAGCGTGGACGGATTTCAAGGGTATCCTCTCGGTGCACCAGAGCGCCGAAGTCTCACGTAAGGAAATGCACTCAGGAGTTCCAGTTCTGGCCAGGACCCAGAGCTGCTTTGCGTCCCTCGAGATCGGGAAAGTCAAGGCCCACCAGGATCTGTCTACCCTGGTGGTCGGCTCGAGGGACTGGTTTGTTGCAAAAGGAAATGACTGGGCGGACAAGGTGGCCAAACAAGCGGCCGCCAGAATTCCCGTCCCGTCCCAGAGTGAAACCGAGCATTATAAAGAATGTCGCAGCCGAGTTCAAAGGATGGTGAAGTATGCTGCAGAGGCTCTTTCCTTGTGGGCCCCACTCGCTCCGAAGTCGGGCAAAAAAACCTATGAGAAGCCCACCCAGAGTTTCAATCCCCCAGTTGGGGCAGGGGGGGCAGCCAACCAATGGACTGCGCCACCCCCGCCCCCTGGGGGTCGTCCTCGGCGTGCTCGAGCGTGCCGTAACCCCCAGGGCGTGGCGAGACATCCGTGGGCATGGCTCAATAGTCATTGGCTGTGCCTCGCGTGTCACACCCGCGCCCGCACGGACAGCACTCGCAAGACCCGCATGCGAGAAGCATGCCCAAGTAATTCAGCCATGTTGTCAATGTTAATTAGGGACCCCCAGAAGCACCAATTAATGATCTGTGATTACCTTGATGTCGAGTCCTTCCTAATCGTTTGTAGGAGGTGCGGCCGCTACAGCGAAAGCAACCTCAAAGGACTCAAAGGTGAATGTAAGGAGCGCTTCCAAAGCAAGTTCTCCCAAGGTGCGTGGTCCCTCCTGGCAAGCGGCCGTCATCCCAAGAGCAGCATGCAGGCCCGTCCCCGACTTTCCCTGCCCATCCCTGCGGCCCAGCTCCTCAAGGAAGGAGGGGCGACGTAAGGAAGAAAGCCAGCGTAAGAGGAGAGCGGATGTAACCCCCAGGTTTCGGTTAGGGTCGGGTCGGCCTAACCCTAGCCTCCCTCATTAGCATGTGATGGTCCTCCTCTCACTCCTCCCATCCATCTCCCCCTCGGGGCCCGTGGTCCTCCGCAAGGAGGCCGTGCGGCGGGACCGACACGAGGAGCGCGCGCACGTCCAAGGCAACAGGACCATGAGCAGAAGAGCATGCAGATCGCGGCCACTACGCGACCGCAACTTACCAATACAGCCGGGGCGTTGACCTAAGGGGCCCTGGATAAGGAACGAGGCTCTTTTTTTCAGCAATTACACTTCGACTCCCCGTC